TGTAAGGTACATACTTCATAACCCTAATGTCTGTGAACCTTGGGTCTGTATTTGAGGGTCAATGAGAAAAAGTTATACATACATACATAGTACCACATATATGGTACGGACCAGAAGAGTGACTATACACATAGGGGGGGGCATCGAAGGTGAGCAGCGACGGTGGAAGGTGTTGCTGATTGACTAATTCATCTGTTTACGGTACTGAGATGCTGTGGTCCCTATAGTTGCTACACTGTTGTTTATGATATGTTTGATATTATAGCATCTAATGGACTCACAAGTATCATATATCAAAATGGATACTATGAGTACATACAGAAATTTGCTTGGTATAATAATGGAATAAAAGACACTGGCAGCAGGAGACAACTTGTCTTAATCTCTTACTGATGAGCAGAAAGTTGCCAGTTCTGAAGTGGTGGAGAATGGGTAATGAAATGAATGGGGAACCTGTCGTCCTTTGATGCCATTGGCACTGTAGTCGCGTTTTGGAAAAGCCTCCCTGACCTCATCACCTGGTGGTTACATGACGAGCCTGGTGCGTCGGACAAAGAACCATCCCTCTGTGGTCATGTGGTCAGTACCAATGAGCCGGCTGCAGAGATGCCCCTGCGATTTCTACTTAAGTGGAGTACTGGTTTTTGTTTGAGATGTGAACCACCTGAATTTCAATCTTACATAAAATGACTTTTGGACCCTTATGGGCAAGATCTATTCACTTTTCTTTACCATATGCCAAGGTGTCTTTGCCTTGAAGTTCTGAAATTGAAACTTTTAGATTTTCTTTGTCAAAATGTATTTGATAGAGGTAGACAAGAACTGGGCTACGAAGACGCCCCTGAAAGCTTCAAACTGTTTGTAGGAAAAAATACTGATTTGTTTGTCAGTCACAGCCTATCCCTTTACCCAGTGTGGATATGTGGAATGCAGTAAGAGTAGTCATGAAGCTGTCCTGAACACTCACAGTTAGAGCTCAATAACAGCCCGAGGCAGACCAATACTCAACTTGCCCAACTTCCGTACAGCTGTAAGGTGTGCGGAGAACAAAATGTACACATAATTCTAAGTTGTAACAGACTGAAGAAGTTCCCTCAAATGAAGTATAACAGAAACATTTTGTGACATTGTAGTGATTATATAACATTGTAATCATTAAAAACTTGCAATGAGATCACCTAAGGGTGCTTTTTGTTTTTCTTATAGGACATTGATACAACATACCAAAGCTCTGGACCCTGCCCGGCCCGTCACTTACATCACAGACAGTAATTACGCCAGGGACAAAGGGGTGAGATTTTATACTACTCACTTTAGCATCAACCGTACACCAAAATAAAAAACCTGCACAGCACAGTCATTATTTGTCATGTTTATTATCGGACACATTAGCAGTTGGGTTGCAGTGGTATAAGATTTTTCTGGTACAATCATAAAATAGCACAGTTTTATGGTACACAATATTACACGATATTACGATACGATATTACTATTATTTATTAGAATTTCACAAAATATCCTAGATTTTTCTAGTACCATCTCAGAAGTCAATACTTTTTAAATAACAGTAATACAGTGGAATTCAATACAGTAGATAAGCAAATGTACATAGTAGGATAACTGTCAATTTTCATACCATGGTATCAGTATATAGCTGCACCTGAATTAGTTGTATTTATAATCATATGTAATCTGAAATATTGAACAAGTTCTGCACACTATCTAGGCTGAAGATGTGTGTTTAAATAAATTGCAGAAAAGAAGAGCAAAATATACCTTTGTGCCTCTCAGTGCTGCAAGTCAGATCATGACACTTAACTGAATGTTCTTGTATATTAACATAATGACCTTTAGTGAGCCACAGAGTGCCTGAACCAAGGGAGTAAAAGTCAAATTGTCAAGGTATCCGGCTGAGATCAGAGGTTTATCTGTGCAAATTCCAAAGCCCTTGTTGACCCAATGTCAAACTAAGTTGTTGCCATATCTCAGAATTGTTCACATTCCTGTTCTATGAGCAATATCTCTCGGGGTGTAGTTAGTAGTTTAAGCTTAAGGTGCTGATTTGATCTGACTAGCTGCAGCCACTGATTTGTAAAGGCTGGGTGAACAGTTTCTCAATTTCTCAACTGTCACCCCATAATTCCTAATATTATTGATATATTGAATTGTTTCTCTACAAGTCCTATTTTGTCTCTAATCTCGTCCCTAGGCTCCCTATGTGGATGTAATCTGTGTAAACAGCTACTTCTCCTGGTACCATGATCCAGGCCACCTAGAGGTCATCCCCATCCAGCTCAACACTCAGTTTGAGAACTGGTATGGAAAGTACCAGAAACCCATCATCCAGAGCGAATATGGAGCAGATGCAGTGCCAGGGATTCACAGTGTGAGAATTCACACACATACACATCCAAATACCCAACTGTAGTGCACCCACTATCAGCCCTTCCTAAGTCCCGCCCCTTTTAGTTCTTTGCTTCAATACAATTTTGCAAGCCTGTTAGCTAGCTAGCAATTGTTAGTTAGCTAGTGTTTTTCTAGTGTTAAGATAACTTAAGAGGTGACTATATCTAACTTTTATCTTCAAAATGTGGTTGTCTTTTCAACATAGACGAGCCTAGCACATCGCACGTGTACAGGAAAGAAGAAAGTTGACCGAGGTTCGACCAAGCTTGCTCATCTGTAATTGGAGCAGAGTGAAAAGGGGTGGGACTTAGGAAGGGTCAATTGTTTAAATTACTCAAATTACTTTATTGTTGCATCGTAAGGCTGTGAGGAATTTCTGATTTTGTCTTCCCCCATCTGTCTTAAAGAACATGTCAATGCCGGTGGTAAGAATCAGTCTTTTCACTCTCCAGGATCCACCTGTGATGTTTACTGAGGAGTACCAGAAGGTAGTTCTGCAGAGCTACCACAACGTGTTCGACCAGAAGAGGAAGCAGTACGTCATTGGTGAACTCATCTGGAACTTTGCCGATTTCATGACTGTACAAGGTACTGCAGCTGCAACAACCAGTAGAACCACAACTGCTGCCATTTCTACCAGAGTTACTGTGGTGTTTATTTCCCTCCATGACTACAGTATATTGTGGGTTCTGTAATTACTGTAGGCAGACTTTGAAGCTGATGCTCGCTGTCAGATACCCTGCTGTCTGACACTTACTTTGTGACCCTGCGGTTCATTTGCTCACACTGCTGTGTAGGAATCATTTAGCCTATGAATTCATGTTCCATGCAAGCATAATGTGATCCACACCTTTTCCAGGAAGACTCACAATAGGTGCCCACTGCAAAGGTACACCGTCAAGTCAAGTCATGTTGTAGTCGGTAGGTTTAACAAAACAAAGTCATTGGTCTCGACAGGATTTTAACAAACACTCTTGAACCTCTGCTTCACACACTGACATCCTCTCTCAATGTTCTGTTGCAGAGTATACTATAGGACATTACATAATATTACAGAACACCAGCAGGTTGTATTTTCATAATGCAGAGCTATTCAGCTGTAAACCATATCTAAATTGCTTCACTAATTTTAATGCAGACCTTTACACTGTGAACTAAGTTGGTCCGACAGAAACAAAATAAACTCTGGCTCCTTGGTCATTTTGGAAGCAGAGTTTACTTCTCTTCTCACCTTAACTGATGTGCTGTGTTTGCGCCTTGTGTCCGATGAGGTTCTCGTTGTTCTTGTGTCTGCAGGAATCACCCGTGTGGTGGGGAACAAGAAGGGTGTTTTCACCAGGCAAAGGCAGCCTAAAGCAGCTGCATTCATCCTGAGGGAGAGGTACTGGAGACTGGCCAATGAAACAGGCAGACTACCTCCTTGGACCAAGTACCCCTGCTCACTATGACACCCGCCAGCTGGGGCACCCAGTCCAGGACCGGCTCAATCCCATGTTAACACTATGTCTAAGTAGTGTCTGATGGAAATTGCAGTTAAAATTCGGTCATTAGCTTGAAGCAGAATAAAGCGTATGTAGAACATTTCAGTTTGGTGTGTACAAATAAGGTCAAAACACCATGAATTACTGTGGTCTGCAATATGAACTAAACCACCAGTGTAATCAGGGCAATCTGCAACTTCTCATCTATGTTGCACATTGATATAATAATTAGAATTATGTGTTGCTTTGGATACACCTGATGTGAGGTTGTAAGTTAATTCATTTAGCTGTTACAGGATATTCTCGATACAGATATAAGGGGTGGTGCTTTCATTGCTCTCATAAAAATGTCAAGAATCCTTTCCATTCAGTGATTAATTTCTGACCTTTCTTCCTTTCAGGTGATGCTGCAGTACACTTGGCAGGAGAAGCACATATACATTACAAAGACACTGAAAAGGAAAGGAGTACACCACTTATTTTCCTTCCTCCCCTGTGTGTACTGTTTGTAAGATAGGATGGTGTAATACTGGTGTTTAGCAGATTGATGTAACAAGTGGTTTTGGAAGCATTTTCTGTTGCCAATGTGAAAATTACCAAAGATGCTGAATCTAATCATAAAGTCGCTTTATTTTTTATAATTTTATAAACTTCTTGAATATGAATCAAGGTATTCAAATACGAAACCCATAAAGCTTAATATGCAACCTGTGTGGTTTTTTTAAACCATTTTCCAATATTTTCAACATTACTATTTGAACAGGGTTGATTTCCTGATTCTTTAATATTTTAAAAATTTTTTACTTTTAGCCAACTGGAAGTCCACTCTTTGCTGTCTTCACTCTGTAATTTGCTCTGTAAATTGCCTCACTTCATCCTAAGATTTCAATCTATACCATCTGCAGCTTTTTCAGTATTGTGTAAACAGGATAGTACACTACAAGGCAAGCCCAGCGTCTAGGTACTGCGCATAGTTAGACACTTTGTTCCTAATGATTTTCCTTTCCCTCTCAAACACTCATTAGATGCATCAAGACACAGCACGAAAGAGGGATCGTTTCAGAGAATGTGTACGCTTTTCTGGATCTTGCGCAATCACCTTCAATCTCAAACAAGAGTGTGGCTTGCGGAGGGAGAGAGCTGGGCGCTTCAACTAGTGAGGAGTAGTGGGAGAAAGTTTGGGTGGGCTATGTGCTGTCAGCGAAAAAATCTCTGCTTCCATCTTGCACTTCAGTATACAGGTTTATACATTGTAATGTAATTCAGTTTCTTTGTTAGGCCACCTACATTATGGCCCAAACCTCCCCCTTTCCTAACACAAGAGCCAGGTTCCTTTTTGTGTTTTTGAGATTGTGATGTCTGACTTGGCTTTGGTCACCTGAAATGGGCAAGATCCGTGCAGGACACTTCATACTGTAAAACACACCAGCAGGGGGGTCGGGCCCGATGCCTGCAGTGGGCAGAGGGGTGTGGAGAGCACTTCCTGGAGGGCCAGACCGCCCTACAGCAGACAGAAGAGGTGTGAAAGAGGTGGTCTCAGGTATAAATGTTTAGATCTCCCGCATGTTCCGGTCTTCTTCATGCTTGAGCCGGCTCGTGTGTTGATTGCCTTTTCTTTGCAAGAAAATAAAACCTTGTCGGCGGAAGAAGTTCTCTATTTCATTCTTTTCAGCCAAGCAGCAGAGAAATTGGCCACAACAAACATCGAGACGGTCTGAAATTTGCCCCCGAGGTGGAATGATAGAATGTGATAGATGCGTTGAACCCAGCCATTGTCACGTGGAAACCATGTTTTTTTATTTGCTAGATACCATTTTTAGGCCAGGCTATTTCCAAGTGAATATGGCGTAGCCATCAATTATGATAATCTATAACCCTAAATCCTTTGATTGCCATCCTTTGGACCCTGGAGGAGTTCCAGTTGTGTTAAATCCTGTGGGCAAAAGCAATTATTAATAATTCTACATTTTAAGCTAGCCAGGTGTCACTGGAAGTCATCTAACCCTCGCTCTGTTTCACAGTGGCCCTCCAACAATGTACGCAGTCTTAGTGGCTGGTTTCTGCAGGCACTGGCTGAGGGGTTGCAAAAACTCAAACATAGCACCTAAAGGGTTTACACGAGATGTGTTTCCATTATGATGGTGGTGTGACTTTCAGTCGCCTTTTCAGCTATCAGGCATAACTTCCTGCTTGTATCCTCCATCGGGGGAAACATGGCTTGACCTTTGTGTTACAGCTGACAAATACAGAATACTTTTGAGCCTTAGTTTCCTTTCAAACATACTGATAGCTACCCTAAGCAGTATAAACTACTTACCTATTTGTAAGTAACCTAGTATAGAAAGCATGTTTTAGGAAAATCTCAAAACTTACATAACCCAAAACATGATGAACACGGTGCACAATCAATATAAAGCTTATTTGGATCTGGTCGCAGCTGTACTTGCTGTTCACACAATAATAGTTGCACCAACTGGAGATTAATGAGTGCATTAAA